CTATTGGGATATTGCATCTTCAATATATAAAGAAGTCGGATATAATAAAGCCAAGGCGCCAATGATGCTCATGAATCGATTTGAAGTTTTTCAGGTTGGTAATTATCTGTTTGAATATAAATTTTGTTTATATTTTATTAATTAGCTTTACTAATTTACAGCCAGGTTATTATGGGTTTAATGGGTTATATACTATTGTTAATACTTTAATAGAATTGTTTGTTAACTCTAATAATCTCACAAAAGACAAAACGTACCCATTAGACCCTATGGATTTTATTTACGAAGTTCTAGTACCAGAAGTAACATTACGTCTGATTCAAGAGGACCGTAATAATAGTATAACACTTGAAGATGCGAAAGAAATTTTAAATGATAGTATTGAATTTGGAGTTTATATGCATAGCAATGAAATAGATGATTGATTAATACTATTGTCTTTTAGTTGTAATAAAGACAAATTTTGAGAAAATAAGGATTAAATTTATGACATATGAATGTTGGCAATTCTTTGTTTTAAATGGCTTAATAAAAATATACAAGAAACAGTAAATAGTAAGGAAACAAAAATAACGATTAATAAGTTTAGTAATTTGAAATTATTTAGTGAATAAAGTCTCCGATATGCAAACGCAAGATACAGTATGTCGAATCTATGCATGTGACCTGTGACCATGTGATACTATCGAATAATCAAAAATGATACATTTTTTTTCAATAATCAAAAACGATAGAATTTTTTTTTCAATAATCAAAAATGATACATTTATTTTTTCAATAATCAAAAACGATACAACAGTTTGTACAACTAACTTCTATAATCAAAAAGCATCACCTCCTTAATCAAAAACGATATATTTGCAATAAAGTGTTTTGAACATTCAACTGGTGTGACTATATAGTAGAATGTGACTATAACGGGAGTGACTATAGAGGGAGTTGACTGTACTTTCATTAAAGCACCAACGTGTTGTTGAGTCTTATCTATTGCATTATTTGTAACTTTGATTAGTTCCGCCTTTGCAATTTCACGATTTGTTGCATCAGTATGATCTTTTGTTGAAGCATGTTCTCCTAGAGCAGAAGATTTAAAATTCTTTGAACCTAATAAAGTAAAGATTTAATTAATACAGTATAATAATTTAAATAAATTATTTTATTATTTTTAAATAAAAATCATTACCTCCTTTTCCAAATTTATTTTGCTTATTATGGGTTTTGCATAGCGAACAAAACATAAGGTTTTTTGATGTGTCATAAATTAACCACCTATAAATTTCTAACCATTCTTTTTGAAAAGTTGCAGTTTTTTTCTTCAATAAAAGATGCGCTTTTTTCTTTTTAAAATTTAAATTTTTTTGTAATATATGTTTATTATTTGGTAATTCTTCAAGTTCTGAATCAGTGTCACTAGATTCAGAATGAATAATATCTGTGTCTTCGCTAGGAACTTTTGTTTTGAAATATTGTTTAATAGTAGACATTTTATGACGCGTAATATGAAAATTTTGATTATCAAATGATGATCTATAAAAATATAAAATATATGCCACCAATATACAAAAAATTTTGCCGGATAAAAATCTGTTGATCTTAAAAATATTCTGGAAAAAAATCCATTCTATAAAATTTTTATCGGATTTTCTTTAAAAATTCTGGTTTTTGCCAGAATTTACAATACTATTTTTAGCTCTGACCTAAGGTAAGGTTTACATATAAAACTCTTTGAAAATCCTATTATAAAAGGAAATTTTATGTTATATTGTTATGATTTTTTTCCTTTTTAATCAATTAACCAATAGAATTTAAGCAAATTCTAAAGTAAGATTTCATATGAAAGTAAATTTTTACCAGTAACATATCTTAGTAGTAGGCAGGGTCCTACTTTATAGCTAAAACATTACCCCAAGTCTTGAGATAATTAAGTATTTTAAATTGAGACTATTTAGAAAAGATATCATATACGACTATTTTTTGAATATTATTCTTGAATGCAGACTTACAGTGGACATCAAAAAAAACGCACCAAACTTTTTTAAAATTATTAATTGTTCTTATTAAATCAATTTAAATTCAATTAAAATAAAATTTAAAACTTAAATAATATATGGTTTGGCCTACTAAAAAACATAAAATTTAATATTAATTTACTAATTAGTTTTTTAATTACATAACATTAAATCAAAACAACTTGGTGCATTCTTTTTGCCACTTTTTAAAATTTTTAAAAAAATCAAAATTTTCACAAAATTATATTATGCTTTTATAATAAAAAAATGTAAAATTAATTATTAAATAGCTTAAATTATTAATTAAAATTAAAAAAAGTCAATACTTTTTAGTAATAAATTGATTAATTTATTTAATGAATATAATTAAAAATTACTATAAAACATATAGATTTTACAGTTTTTATTATAACAGTTTTTCTTAAACTACATTAAATCAAAAAATTTTATAGTAAAATAATACCCAAAATTAAATTCTCCT